CCCTGGTCACGGCCGACAGATGGTCTTCCAATGTCAGCCGTGGATCCAGGAGGACTCCCAAGTTGCGGGCCTTCTCTGCGGGGGCCAAAATTTCGCCCCCTATAGTCAGCGATGGGGTCAGCTGACTATACCGAGGCGCCGGCAGCCACAGCCACTCGGTCTTGGAAGGGTTGAGCCTGAGTCTGTTCCTCCCCATCCATCATTTGCAAATTTGCAAATCAAGGTTATGCAAATGATGGTTAGGCATGATGGGCAAATCCAATCACTGTTTTGTCTCAGAGAAGTGCCCATTACTCTGGTGCTAGTAAAATTAGGATAATTTAAAATGATTTCTCATTCATTTAAACTCCTTCAGTAAGATAATCCAATTTGTCAAGGGATCCAGCAAAGGTTCTTTCTCGATCATTTGGCCTTTATTTCTATTTCTTTGTTTCTTGTTCTTAATAACAGAAATGACTAAATGACTAAACCTGTAACCTTTAGTTATTCAAAACTGTTTCTTTTCATGAAATGTAACTGAGAAATATTAAGTGATTCTCTAGTGTAGTCTAATAGCATTCTGGTTGTTATAATTTCTTTATAAGCAACTTATAAGTTGTTTATGATGAGTGGTTTCCAGTTTTTTTTTTTTTTGTTTTTTTTAAAGACTACTTTCTTAAGTAAAACTTTAAGATGCTCAGCCAAAGGCATGTTGAATTGATTGCCATTACTTGTGACAGGAAAAGCTAGAGCACCAACTTCATTAGCCCATGCCCAGGCAGTTGGTTGAAGGCAAATAGTTGCAATTGTTTTAAGTGCAACCGTATACCTGGATCACAGTCATCTAACTGCAGGGGTGCTGGGATGGCCAGAACTTCAAGAACTGATTGCAAGTACCATTCGATTGGTGGCATTTTAACTTTAAATAATTGCTAAACAAGTGGTCATTATATCCAATGTTGAGAAATCCAAAGCAGACCTATAGAACTATCTCTCAGATCAGGATATATAGATATTAGAATGACAAATGAAATTCACAGTAACTAATTAAGGACAAAACTAATCCCAGGCCAATTGAGAGAGCCATTCAATTCCCATGAATGCCTTCCAGTTTGTGATTAAGTAATTTATGTTCAGTTTTGATATTTATTTATTAATCAAGTTTATACAGCTCCCATCTCACTGTTGAAGTTGAGTAACTAAGCATCCCATCAGATATTACAGAGGAACACTCAGGAAGTATTGGTAGAGAACGGAGAAGTTGCAGTTACTTCAAAAGAACTAAAAACAAAAGGAGTTTAATAACACATTTTCAGACTATTAGTATCCATTTTATTAAAACCACAAGCTTTCTTGAGCCAGTTCATCAAATGCATAGTTACACTGATATAGGATTTGAAATGGGATTATTCTGATTATATGTCACAATACATGTGAGTCACATCACAAGTATTTTATCAAATACCTACAATACTTATGATTTGAAAGAGCAAGGGAATCTTCTCTTCAGCAATGTTTTTCTTAGAAATTGAAGGGATAGCCTCCTGAATAGAAGAATGTATCTACCGTTATTAAAATGGTATAAAGGATAAAGTTCTCTCCCTTCAGAACAGAAAGAGTTCTCTGCCCTCAGATGATACAATACAAGTATATTTTATATACTTAAAATTAGGGCTCCTCATTCTGGGCTGCAAGCATCCTAACAACCACTAGCTGGCAGCAAAGAGTTAGTTTTGTGTGCCACCTACAGAGGGTTGCAACCCAGATCTGGTAGCCTAATGCATAGCAACATTTTTTTCTCTTTTAATGCTTAAAGAGCATTAAAGAGTAATATGATGGTAACCAACACAACCTTGCAGCAGTTAAAATATGCCATTTTTCTTCCTCTCTAATAAGCCTCTTCCTTATACGTATATAGTTAAAGGAAAGTTTAGCTTTCAAGAAAAAAGAAATCTGTTCTAGATTTTTCTCTCACATATGCCATTTTTCTGCAGGCAAGACTCTTTCCTTCTCACTGACCTCGAAACACAGAAGACCAGTGCAAGACAGAAGGAGTCAGACTACAGATTAAGGATTATACATTTCTGGATCCTGGGCTTCCTCAGAATTGACTGAGGACAGAAGCATTTCTTCCCTCTTTTTAATTTCATCTTGGATAGCCAAGATGGAGAGCTAAGCCAAGAAGCCAAATACAAGGACAATGTATCTGGAGGCCTCAAGATACATTGGACAGGGCTATTTGAAAAAGTGCAAGTAAGGGAGAAAAAAGTAAAAGAAAAATAGAAAAGAAATTTAAAAGCTACCAAAAAAGCTTTTAGTTTTCTCTTTTATTTTTTTTCTTTTCTTCACTTTATATTAGTTTGCATTAGCTTTATCTTCTTTTTAAAAAAAATTAAATAAAATTATATAGATATATTGAGCAAGGATATGGAGAGATCTCAAGATATATTGCATCAAAGCTCCCATTATTTTCATTCAACTGTCCTCAGGAGCTTCTGATCTTGGAAAAGTCCTTGGTGTTGAGCTACATTTCTATAAAGTTCTGTAATCTGATGGCAGGAAAATCCAAGATATCAATTAATCCACCTGAGATCAAACATAAGTCTGGCAAGCCAATCTTAGTCTGCCACTATCATCTGATGTGTTGGACCACAACATCTTTCCTGCCCAGCTAACACAGTTTATTCATCAAGGCTGCTAGACTCTTGGGAGATACCACACAAGGAATACAGATTGTTCCTCATGTCTTCAAATGTAATTCGGTTCAGCAGAATCATGAGTCACAAGATGCCGAGGCAAGGGATAAGAAATCCACAGCCACAAACTATATTTGAGTTTTATTAACTGTGAAAAGCTCTGTCTGGCTGCCAGAATCATTGTTGTGAGATGGCCAGCCGGAGAAATCGTTTAAAGCAACTGCAAATCTATCAGACAAAGATCTTTTCCCCTTAATGTTCTAGATCTCAACTAACATTGCAGCCTGGCTCCGGATGTTCAAGCCCCCCCCCCTCCTTTTGTTACAAGGAATGCCTTTCCAAGCATCACCCTTACGGGTGACGTACCCTTACGGGAAGATGAAGGGAGATGCAGGAGCACAAAGGCGAACCGAGATGGCATCTGGGTCCGGAAAAAGTAGGGAACGCAAGACAAAGTAACCCCTGTTAGGGATTGGTAGAGAAGGAATTCCCAGCACCGCTAATTCCATCGCTGACTTCTCATTTCTGCCACAATGAAAGCAAAAGAATAAAGCCCGCATCCCTAAGTCTTACACCCTAGAGCTGGCTGGAAATGAGGGAGGGCGTTGAAGCCCCTCGCAACTGGAGAACACCAGAGGGGGGAGCTTTCTTCCCAAGCTCACTATTGTTCGGAGCCGTCTCTCTGGACCACAGTGGAGAGAGATGCAGCCATTAGAAGCCCCACGGATGCCTAGAAGGAAGAACGGACCTTTTAAGCCCATGCTCTCATCAAGAGTAATTTAAAGGAAGATTGAAACCCTAACTAGCAATTGCACAGTTCTTCCCACACACACAGCCGGCCCCATTTCAGGCCCAGAGGGGTATGTTCGGCATGCACCCCTTCCCCATCCTTTCTTTTCATTTGCATTCTACGGAAGCGTCTTTCTTATCTTTTTAAAAGTCCACCGAAATGAATGGGCGCTTCGGGGAAAGGCAAAACTTTAAACGCAATTGTACCCCGTCGCTTTTTTTGTCTCTCGAATCCAAACGGGTGGCTTCAAAATGCTGAACCCCACTCGAGAAGGGGCTTCAGTTCCGGGGCTCAGGCTTCATTGCACGACCCCCGTCTCCCTTTTCCAAGAGAAGAAACAAAGGGCGGTCAGCTGCCGTCTCCAAACAGCGAATCACCTTTTCCTTCGAGAGGTCATAAAGCCCAGTCAGGGAAAAAAAAGAAAGAAAAAAGAGAAAAAAAAGAGAGACGGCTTAGGGAAACCGGCACCCGCGCCCCACGCCTGGCCCATGTCTTCCCCCCCCGCCAAATGACACGAACAAAAGTTGCCCCTTTCACCACGCGACCCGTCTCAGAAGCAGAAGGCACGGAGGTTAGGAGAGTTCACGCGAGGCGCACTTTCCCACGGAAAGGCGCGCTTCCTCGCCAGCTCCTGCCATCCCGGGGACTCCGCACTCTGAACCGCAGCGCGGGGACTCCGCTTTGCACGGCCGCTAAGGATGACCTTATTTTACTCGCGCGCACGCTGGACGGGCGGACCGGAGGGCTATTCCTGAGCAGAGAGAGAGAGAGAGAGACTCAACGGAGAAAGACTCCCACGTTTTAAGGCGAAGAGGGAGGCTAAATTTTGCCCAACCCATCGACGCCCGGAGTTTCGATGCAGGAAACAGGCAAAAATCTGTAAATCCAAGGTGGCTTTACCGTCTCGGGATCCGCGTAAGTCCCGAGTCCTATCACCGGGATGGAGTTGCCGTCGTTGAGCATCAGGCGGTGGTTTGCGCCGGTGAACTTCATCATGACGAGCGGCCGAGAGAACTTTCTGCAATTTTCTTGTCTTTCTTTTTTTGCCACCCCCTCCCTCGCCTGCAGCGAAACTCCCCAAGAAAAACGGCCGTCTTTTGTTGCTCGCCAACGTGCTCCGTGCTGCGGCCCGTTCCGTCGGCAGAGGGCGCAAGAGAGCAGGGAAAGCCGCCGCCGCTCCAGCACGGGCCGCTTTGGTTAAATAGTGGAATTGGCGACGCAGCAGCCTTGGGATTTCGTCGGCAGAACTTATTGGTGGGCAGCCCCCCACCCCACCCCACCCGCGGGACACAGGACGTTCGCCCGAGGAGAACCTTGCGAAAGGCGGTTGCGAAAGCCTTTCAGATGCTAAGTGACCTGGAGAACAAGCGTGTTGGGGGAACCCGCTCGAGGCGACGCAGAGAAAGGCTAGCGAAACTTGACGGATCTCCCTCCGTAAATCTTATCTTATCAGCTTGCTCCCGCGAGCTTCGGCAGTGGGAGACCACCCTGACTTGACAGTAGTAAAAGAAAGATTGAATTGGAATTGGAATTGGAATTGGAACAGACAAAGGAATTTGTCTCCCGGTACAAAGGCACTCCGTGTGAGCGCAAACCTTGATAATCACAATCGTAGTATCTGTTACACCACCGAACGTCCGCATCTGCCTAGCCCTACTCGATAGGTAGACAGACCCAGTCTGAACATCTGGCTGACTGTGCGATGATCAATAATAATAATACCAATAAAGGGGGGAGGGGTAAAGAAGATAAGGCTAAATCAGTGGTTCTCAACCTGTGGGTCGATCGACCATTTCACGGGGGTCGCCAAGCAAGGCTGTCCGCCATTTTTTTTGTCTGCCATTTTTCCCCCTTTTCCGGCGGGTGCCTTACCTCCCTTGGGCTGGGCCAGCTGGTGGTTGGCCTGCTCCGTCTCTGCCGCTTGCCAGTTACGCCTCGGCCGGCGCAGGGGGCAGAACTACGTATGCGCGGTGTTCCCGGGCAGGGAAAGTCCTCGACTTACGACCGGTTGGGTAGTCCTCGACTTACGACCAGTTTAGTCCTCGACTTATGACTGGTTTAGTCCTCGACTTACGACCGGTTGGGCTCGCGGCATTAAAAAGGTTGAGAACCACTGGGCTAAATGATAGTACAGCCATACTACATAGGTAAATACACATACATTAGACCAGGGGTCTTCAAACTTGGCCCTTTTATGACTTGTGGACTTCAACTCCCAGAATTCCTCAGCCAGCATGGCTGGCTGAGGAATTCTGGGAGTTGAAGTCTACAAGTCATAAAAGGGCCAAGTTTGAAGACCCCTGCATTAGACAGTACTGTGAGAATTGGGTGTCTAGCAGAGCAATGGCATCAGGGGGGAAAAACTGTCCCTGGGTCTAGTTGCTTTGGCATGTAATGCCCTATAGCGCCATCCCAAGGGGAGGAGTTGAAACAGGATGTGAGGGGCCTGCAGATGTCTTCTCAGCCCACCTTCTGACCCCTGCAATATACAGGTCTTCCATAGAAGGCAGGCTGGTTGCAATCGCTCTTTCTGCAGCCTTAACTATCCGTTGGAATCCTGTTTGGTTTCGGTACCAAACTAATGATAGACTGCAGGATGAAAGTGCAACAATGTAATTCCTCCTCGTCGGCAATCACACTCATACACACACCCACACCCAAAGGGAAAGATTGCACTGAATGGAAGATGGAGTTAGGCAAGATGGCTTCTGCATCTTCAGCTGGACAACAGAATGATGGGAGGAATCCCCTCCTTCAGATTCTGGAGTCATTAACCAATAGAGGTTGTATTCACACAGCACAATTATCCACAGGTGAAAAAGGATATCCCACCTTTTTATAGATATCTGCCTCCACTTTGTCATGGGTTCTTTTATATATACTGAAGTCAGTGGGCTCCAAACCACGAGAGCCAACACAGCAACACAGGTCCCTAGGCAACACATGCACAAGCATTCACAGATTAGTACTCATTGCTCATCACTACTCCACTCTTCCCCACTGCTACTATACCTCCTACTTCTGGACAAAAGTATCTCTAGCTGCTTCAGGATGCTTTGGTTCCATAGATTCCCTTCCTCTCTCCCACACACCAGCACCACAACCTCAGTTGTCACTTAGCACAGCTTTTATCGCCTGTGTTGCTTTGGGAAGAGTTCACAACAGCAGCACAGCTATTGCTCATTTTCTAGGCAACCTGCCCTTTCACACCCATGATTAAGTGAACTGATTAACCAGGGCTGCAAAAAAGTCTTGGGGCATGCACAATCATCCAAACTCAGTTTCCACAACACTCTGAGCCACTAGTGTGTTTTTGGACCCAGGCAAACCATGTTATTTTGAATTAAATTATTGTAGCCCAATTAGATCCCCTTTTGGTTGACTGGACGTCATCTTCCATAATCTGCTGTCTCCATGGTCATGGAACTCCAAGGTATTTGGAGGGCAGCAAGGTGGGAAAAGTTGATATGTAATTTATAATGTATTTATTTTATAATGTTTACATGCTTCCCCATTTCAAGACTCTAGACTGATCTAGGATAAGACAAGTCCTTTTTTCCCCCCATGACATGATTGAAGATGCAGAGAATACACTTGCCCTTAAAACTAAGCTATGGTTTCTTGAACTTTACTATGTTCATTTTGTAACAGGTTATTCAGACTACCAGATGTGAGTTCCAGCCATTTGGTTGACTAAGAAATAATATGAGTTTTCTGTATCTCAATGATCTGAAATGTTGTCCATCAGAAGAGGTGCTGGCAGTGGTACTCATTAAGAACCATTTAATTTGGGCCATTTTCACTGAAGATCAATATTTTGGCGAGATGATGGGAGATGTATTTGTTTGCCTGCTTTGTCTGTAGTTAGCAAAGTTAGGAGATGTGGATTGACACTTTAGCCCTTCAGGAGGAATTTTGAAGGACCAAAACTATTGGCACTGACATCTCATCACCTACAAGGAAGCAGTAGGGTATATATTGTCCCCTCTTTGTCTATCACTCAGGAAATTCCCTAAAGCAAAATCAAGCAACTCAGTGGGTGTATTTATAATTCTGAATAAATGGTTAATTTATTTAAAGCAATCATATGTATTTATCTTGATACAATTAATATTGACGGGGTGAAAAAAATAGTTTCCCCACTTGCTTCAAAAATCTATTGATGTATCAGTTCCCTATACAGTTAACAGAATTAAAACTTTTTTAAAAATAATGATTTTCTTCTGCAAAATAAATTGATTTCTCACCTTGTCCCACTGACAACTGACTTTCATCTTGTCTTGTTCCCCATTAAAAAGTAAATTAATATGCACTCTCTCCAATCTTTTGGACCAAGATTGGTGTGCACACTCTCCAATCCTTTTGATCAAGATGCAAAGTGCAAAGTGAAAAAGGTGAGAGAGAACAAATCAGAGGCTTTGTGGCTTCTGAATAGGAAATCAAAAGAACCAGGGACAGCGATTGGCAGCACTTTGCTCCTTTCCTGCCTAGCTGACAATGATAGCCTCCTCCTTGTAGCATCACAGAGTGGGAAAGGGCCATATATATCATTCAGTCTAATTGTAGGCATCAGATAGAAGTGAGGATCATGTCACCATCATGACATGACAGTTAGAATGAGGGAATTGCAGGCTACTTCTGCTACCTGCCAGTTGCCTGCAGTTTGGCAGTTTGATTCTCACCGGCTCAAGGCTGACTCAGCCTTCCATCCTTCCGAGGTCCGTAAAATGAGGACCCAGATTGTTGGGGACAATATGCTGACTCTGTAAACCGCTTAGAGAGGGCTGTAAAGCACTGCAAAGTGGTATATAAGTCTAAATGCTATTGCTATTGCATCCCAACCTGGAACTTAAATCCGTCATGCCACATCTGGGGCTTCCTGGGTGTGTACCACGCCACGGGGTACCTGATATCCATAATCAATGTAAAGTCTGTATTAAGTTCCCCCCAAATAAGCCAGGCATTCCTTCTCTGGTCAGATCTAGAGTGTGCAAAATGGGAACAAATGGACCTCCACAATTGTGTCAACCACCACTCCAACTCCAATTGCACCACAGTTGGGTGTGACAGCCTCCCAACCTGCTTTGTTGAAGATGGGAGGATTCAAAATATGGCACCTGGCCACCCATCCGGGCATCCCTAATTGTTTTCTGTCTGCCCGGGAAGCTGAAAGAATTGATTTCAAGGAGGCTGTGAGACTGTCTATGTCATATGAATAAGAAAATAGGTTAGAGGCTTTTATCCTTGTGGTGTCCTATCAGATTTCTCTGATAGTAAGTGAATGCTTTCCAGATGTGAAGAATTATATCCTTTGGGGCATCTCTCATCAGAATCATGCCATTTGCTGTACTTGGCAATGAGAATCAAAGGGAAAATGTCTACCTTTAATTCTGTTACACTGCAATGAGGAGCAAATTTTCACCATAACTTCTCTGATAGCCTTTTAATTATTTGAGATCAGCTATACTATTATACCTTAATCATTTGACTTTCTGAACAGACATATCCAGTTTTTCCCCCAAATCCTTCATCATAATACAACATTCATTTCTCCAACCTCCTCCTTCTTCATTCATTAGGATACCCAGAGTAGGATCTATAATGTGAAACTGTTAACAGAACAGAGTAACAGAGTTGGAGGGGACCTTGGAGGTCATCTAGTCCAGGGCTTTTCAACCTTTTCACCCATTGTACCACTTTTAGGATATGGCAACATCCGAGTACCACCAGCAAGGTGTCAAAAACTTGATGACCAAAAAAAAAAGGAAAAAAGTAATAAAGTACAGGTGGTCCTTGACTTACAACAGTTCGCTTAGTGACTGTTCGAAGTTACAATGGCACTGAAAAAGTGCCCCCCAAGCCACAGCCGAGCAAGACACCTGCCTGCCCACCCAGCGGCGCTCTTCCTCCTGTCCGAGAAATGCTCATTGTTGTGAGCATTTCTGTTGAGGATTGGCAGCGGGGGTGGGGTGGGGGGGTGTTTGGTTTTTATTCCCCCCATCTGTTGGGTGGTTGC